TCCCAAATGAAGGACATTCATGGATCATGGCTGGGGAAATGAGCCAGTCAGGTTTTATTTTGATTTTGTCACAGATTGGGAACCCACTTACCATAACAAATGAAGACAGTTTACCATATACTCATCATGAAGGATACTGATGCACTCAAGCCATGAGAGCCAAAGCAGAATAGGAATGGAATTCCGTAACATAATACATAATCCCTACAAAAGGCAAAAATACATGAATCAAAATCCAACAAGTGATTTTAAGATGATTTCTAGATAAGACCCTTTTCAAGAACCCTACAACTTCCCAAACATTTCTGCTAGAAACAATTCTCTTAAAATTCCTTTCAGTTACTCTAAACAATAATCTTCATTCTTTGAATATGCATACCTCTGAATATCTAACATTGTTTGTGGTATGGAAGGAAGGACGACATAGTTATATCTATATTATATTTTTTAATTATTTAGAAGACCCCAAATGATTAAGACCATCTCCTCAACATTCTCTATTACTGCACACAATGGAAGTTTAAAAAGCAGTAATCTGTTGGTATGCAAGGGGCATTGGTTGCAGAACCCCAGTCCATAGATACAAATATCTGAAGTTACTCAAGTCCCTTCTTTTTAAATGGTATAGTATTTGCACAAATGTAACTTATGTACTTCCTTTTTGCTTTAAAATCATATCTTGTATATTTCAAATCATTTCTCTATTTCTTAACAATACTTACTACAATGTAAATGCTATATAAATAGTTTATATTGTATACTTTATGGCATAATGACCAAAAAATGACATTAAGAATAATTTGGAGTTCAAAATGCAGGCTTTAGATGACCCAAAATCTAAAACTGATAAACAGAATAATATAATGAAATATAGCAGAAAATGTGGTTAATCCTCCCAATTCAAACTACTAGAAATAAGTGTCACAGTGGAGATGCCAGGAAGGACTTCTCAGAACACAAGGGAAAGCTAAATGATATAGTCTTAAGTGATACCAAGTGCACTATAATAACAAAACAATGACAATGTTATGTGTCTGCACACATTTAGAATTGACCTAACCAAGTCAAGCCTAAAACATACCATCTGTGAGTTAAATGTGGTTGCATGACTGTGGTTTTAAAGTTCTACAAAGAAACCCTTACATAATAATCAGCCTAAGCATCCAATAAATCAAAGAAATCATCTGTATGTATTAACAGATATTTTATTTATTAGATGAAATATAAACAAGGACATCACTTTCCCAATGCAATACATTTTAGTTGACAAAGTCAGAAATGCAAGAATTAAACTATGACAAGAGCTTATGCTAATTATGTATCACTGAAAGATATTTATTATAGCAGAGATGACATGTGCATTTATTGCCTAAGCACTCCTGTTTAGTCCGAGTCATGGGGCAAAAATGAGGGAACTCGTTCTGCTCATCTGTTGATTCACCATGTACGTACAAACATTACAGCCTTGTGATATTAGAACTAAGTAACCATTATAAAGAAAAGATAAGCAGAAATATTTGATATAAGAGATTCTTAGGAACACAGAAAGGAAGTGACCTAGTACTATGGACTTTGGAATTTTACAGTATACTTAAAAAACTGCTTTTCAAAATACATGGAGGACCCAGATAAGAAACCCTTTCTCCATGCCACACACTATAACACTCCTCAGGGAGCTTCATGTTTACCTTGGAAAGCAATGAATCCAATTGTTAAACAGCTGGCAGTTCTATATAACACCAGCATAAAAAGTAGGCAGAAAAACTATTGTTCTTGTTACACGGGTTTTAAAGTTCAAGATTTTATTATTATCAAGAAGTATCTTTTAAAAATGCATTAGTAAAGAAATTTACACTAACTATATTAGAATAGTGACAAAATAAGGTTGGATAAAGTTGAGAAGGTGAGCTGGAATATTCTCTAGACTGTAGCAATCTATGTCCTCATGGAGCATTCAAATTCCATGTTTAGAATCCTCAAAGTATGTTTTAAATGACAGGAAAAGGTACAGGAAGAACAAGGGGAAATTTCCCTCTCAGAGAAGCACAGTTCTTACTCACCAGTATTAACAGATAATAGGGCTCCATAATTTCTGCTATGGACAAATGTTCATGTGCTCCTATATCTAGTATCAGGAAACTAGTTGAATAGCATACCATCAAAAGAGTAAGCATCATTATTGAGAAAGCTCTTGCCTTCAAGTTCAATCCTTAACAAAAAAAAAAAAAGGTTCAGCCCTGCTACCTGGACAATATGTATTCAAGATCATTTACCATGCAAATGTTAATAATTCAGAGAAATTAATACCTGAATGAAAAAAGGTATCCATATCCAACTACTATGGGCCAGCAATTTCAATATTCACCTGTATATAACTGCACAGAGTTATCATTCAGATTTTTTTGGTACACTTAAATACCACATCACTTTTCCATATAGCACCTGTGTTTCCCTATGTGGAATTATGATTAACTTCAGAACTGCTTAGATGGAGAGATACAGGCAACATAATTGGCCAAATTATATTGATTTTTCCTGTACTTAGACACATTGCTCATGGTTTGTTGTCACTGCATTAGTGAAGAAACAGGGATCAGGTTCCA